AGGAGGCCCGCAGTAGAGATCGGTGGTCCTCTGTAGAGAGGAGGCCCCCTCTGTGTTTTGACAAATGTTTTTGCAAATTTTTCGCGGCGCTTCGCGCCGCCGATTCATGTACATACGTACAGGTCAATACGAAATCGTGACTGTAATTACATAAACCAACCGTGTCAAATTGAATCAGAATTCATATATGTACTGTGAAGGAATTCCGGCTTGTACTGCCATGCTAAAAGGGTGGTAAAATTTGTGTTTTGGAACTGTGTTTTGACACAGTCTTTTGCAAATTTTCTCGGCGCTTCGCGCCGCCGATTTGTACACCAATCAATAAGAGAGATCGTGACTGTAATAACACCAACAGTGTCAAATTAAATCGGAATTCATATGTGTACTGTGAAGGAACTCCGGCTTGTACTAGCATGCTAAAAGGGTTGCAATATTTGTGTTTTAGAGCTGTGTTTTGACAACTTTTTTTGCAAATTTTTGCGGCGCTTCGCGCCGCCGATTCATACACAAGTCAATAAGAGAGATCGTGACTGTATGCTAGTAATGCATTGGGCTAAAAGTGAGGTAACTATATCTACTTCTGGGTTTTTAAGTCGGTCGATCCACCCCCACCGTCCCCCCCCCCCCCCAGTAAAAAATCCGTGGCGACGGGTTTCACTAACAACTACTGAGCCAAGTGACTTACGATAAAACTTCATCTTAGAAACGACGAAGATCAAATGTCATTTGATCTCGACATACTCGCTCCCTACCCCCCCCCCCCCCCCGGTCGTCAGAATTCATTCATCAGACCTGGCATGTCGGCCGACTGGTGACCCCCCCCAAAACGTTCCCCTAGATCCGCCCTTGAATCAAAGGGGGGCACGGTGCCCCGGTGCCCTCCCTGTTCCGCCGCCTATGCATACAACTTATGTTTCTTTTCAGTTAATCTTACCTTTATACCTTACATTTTACGCCTATGCATTGGATTTTTTTTAAAATAAAATGTGGCGGAATGGAACCCTGTAGCACTTGAAAAGTTGCATGTCTGAGTGATTTCAGAATTTTAGTGAACTAATGAAGAGCTATTTTTGACTGGCATAAGGCTATTATTTGAGAGTGAGACCGGTCTAAAACACAAACACAATAATAAACCAAACATCTGCCGAAAAACCGCAATTCCCTATCATCACAGTCACCGCAGCCTTGCAAGTTGCAAGCTGCAAGCTGCGACATTCACTGTTCCTAAATGCCAGCATCGAACTCGAGTAAATATTCCGTGGCCTTGCGAATGAGCGCCTGAGACGGTTCTGCTTTGAGCCTGCTGCGTGTGAAAAGTATCACCCCCAAACGAAAACAATAGAAGCAGCCAACCGACGCAAAACTAATGACCAGTATATGACTCAGAGATTTACTGAACAGTAAAACCTTGATGGCGCGGCCGGCCCCAGAGGAGAGGGCACAGATCCGACCGTGGTTGAGCGTCGCCGACGGCCCAGCCGGCCTTGGCAGTAATGGCGCCCTATTCTTACTCCCTCCCAGCGCCAGCCTGGGGCGGCGCAGCTTCCATAAATCAGACGGCGAGGACACCGGACCGTCGACGCCACGTGTGTGTGTGGGGGGGGGGAGGCACTGTGTTTGTGCGTGCGAGCTTGCGTGTGAGCGTGAGTTTGTTCATCAAGGCGTTCGTGCGAACGTGTCAATCCACCGATGATCCCCGTGTGTGTACGGTAGCGTCATGCCCTGCAGCCAGATTGACCTCCATCAGCCCTGTAGCAGTTTGGCCGGCCTGTGCAGACGCGCCAGTGACCCTGAACCAACAGCTCGCCAAGGGCGGTGACCCGTGCGCCTCACCACACCACTCACGGAAGCTACCGAGCCACCCGTCAGTCAATCCTGATCGGCCCCCACATGACACCGGTAAACAAACGGGCCACCCGGTCCGGTGGCCGGTCCGTGATGCCATTGGCGGCAGGGTGGCGTGACGTCATCAGTGGGGACTAGGAGAGGTCGAGGGAGACTACTGTTAACGCCAGACCCCTTGAGACCCTAATTTTTCGCGATTACTTTTAAATGCGTGAAGGAATTTCAACCAAGCTCAGGACATGGCCGTTTCAAGACAGGCCGAAACTTTTACAATTTAGATATTTTATCGCCATTTCAATATTTCAGGCACTTGTCATTGACTCGTAATGTTAACTGTTTTTCCATCCTGGATAGAGGCTTTCTACGTCATATGACATTAGGCTCCGCCCACGACTGCGGCATTGACCCGTGCCCATCAGCGACCTCTGTACAAACGACACCCCTGCCATCTGTGAAGGACTATGAATTTCGCTGACGCTTCACGTGCTATGAGTCAATTGCAGCAGACGGTCAAGTAAATGTTAGGCTCTTGTTGACTCTTGTATATAGGACCAAGAGGACCATCACTCCTCAACCTACTACTCAGTCGTGCTTCGAACAAACGTTAACGATTCCTAACAAATACGATTTTCGATGTAGGGTATCTGTTTGAAATACGAGCGAGCCGTATGATGTGAAGCGAAGGCAATTAACTTATTATTGCGTTGTTCGATGGTTGCATAGCGATGTACAAATCGGCAGCTACTTGGTGACATCCGACATCCCATTATCGCATTATCTGCAACGCCATAGGCTTTAAATACAGGTGAATATTTCCTAACCTTATGTCAGTTATATGCCATCTGCCCGTCATTTGCAGCTTATAAAAAAAAATATATATATATCAGCGAACATGAGTGGTGGATGCGCATTGAGTGGTGGATGCTCAATGCGCATTGTAGAAGCAATGCGCAATGAGCATTTATGACTCCTTAGTCATCATGTCGCTCTCTGGGCACTGTCAGCCAAGACGCTACGCACAACTCCGCCGGCTTTCGGCACCGCTCGCCCGTCGCCCGTCCCCGCTCCCCGCCACAGCGAGAGTGACCGCGCGCCGGCCCGAAACCGCCGCAGGCCAAGACCACAGAGGCAGGGCTTAGCTGTGACGTCATAACGTATCACAGACTGACTGGTGATAGCCTCTACACACCGGATGAAAATCTTGCTCGAAATTTAACATTACGAGTCAATGACAAGTGCCTGAAATATTGAAATGGCGATAAAATATCTAAATTGTAAAAGTTTCGGCCTGTCTTGAAACGGCCATGTCCTGAGCTTGGTTGAAAATCCTTCACGCATTTAAAAGTAATCGCGAAAAATTAGGGTCTCAAGGGGTCTGGCGTTAACAGTAGGGCGGAAATGTCAGCCTGAGGGATGATGCGCCAGTCGGGAGTGGGACCGAACAGGTGAACACCGTGACTGTATTGAGTGCGCATGCCCCTGAACTTGGGCGGTTTGCGTATCTGTCACCAAATGACATGACGCAACTGACGATGCAACTTAGCCATGTCCTACCCTACCATCAAACAGCTCAATATACGAGCAATCCCAACATTGCATAATTGCAATGAATATGTAGTAAATACGGTGCAAGGTCCAGGCCACCGAAACACCTGACCCCTAACCAGAAATGTGTGAATTAACTCCCATGAAACAGTACTCGGGTACCAAATTCGACACCATCTGCCAGGGATGCCGACCGGCGCTTTGCAGAGCCAGTTGAGGGCGCTTTGCAGAGCCAGTTGAGGGCGCTTCCCTTCTCGCTTCCCACACCTCTGTCAGTGGCACGCCGTGCGCAGCTGCAAGGGACAGTCCCGGCTAGCCGGAACGTATCGCAACGGCTAACGTTTGCTCACAACTTATCGGCCGCAGAGCAGCGATCATGACCTCATGGAAGACTTCCGTGTGCTCCTGATCAGCAAAGACAGCTGGCAGCAAACGGCTAATATTCGTCGTCTGTGGGATTATTTATCTAGAGTAGACCAATGGTTGACTCTGATCTACGTTGATGACTGTCAATGAATGAATACTGAAAGCAGCCTATTCTCTAATTAAAAACACTAACTGTGAAATGTCATCTGCAGATTTGTACCGAGCACACCGAGGGAAATGAGTTCTGAGACATCCCATGAAGTGCACTCGCCACGTAAGAGCACTCCCAAGGATATGAGGGTGGCATTTCGATGGCCGTAAGTAGAGATGCCCAGCAGTCGTCATTCTGTCTCTCATCCAAAGAGACTGGAGGACTGAGACGTGTATTAGTGAATTGTTACAGCAATGTACCCGTGACATCGACGGGTAGTGAATTTCATCCCGAATGTCATAAACATATAGGTGGAAGAAATTTAACAATAAGAACACCTGAAGTAGCGTTACCTGATAATGTCGAACAGGGAAAAACGAAAAGGAAATCAATTAGAATTACGCGCACTAGGCCCCGTTTTGACAAATCATTTGAACGGCGTAATTCGTCTTTGGGATTCGTTTGGGACCGTCGCCTAATTCTCCACACCGATAGAGTCGGTGGCACGATCTCCCGCATCCCCAAACAAACATACAGAACTGCTAATGGAAGGGAACGTTTGTTGAATACTCGGGCAATATCAACAGCGCGCTGTCTTTTTCCTTCAGGAGATCCGTACTATTTTATCGATAAATGACGAAATTTGGACATGCAAAAGCTCAGTTTGTTGTACAACTGCAATCCAGTACCTTATCTAATCTCATCTCGTAATTCTTCAAATAGGACGTTACCGATAAAAAGAAAGTGCAATAATAACATTTCACGCCATTCCATGGTGGCAATGAGTATAACAAGCACATAACTCCGTGCAATGAGCCAGTTGCGCTGAGCTATACGATTGACGTTTGGTCTGTAGATGCTTGTATAAGCTCTCGTTATGTAAGAGTTTCTAGAATTGGTCAATGGTCATGAAACCAGGTAATGGTTGTCATCCCATTCTCACATCCCTCAGACATCCCTATGCTCACTTTGTCATGTCAGTCCATATAGAGCGACAGCAACACCCAGACAAGCCAAAAGTAGATCATTCTTCTCTGGCAGCCACAAACCCATGACTTTTAATTCCACCCTGTAATGGAAGTGGAACACTCACGTATTTGCAGATGTTGAGGACGGTCCAGGGTATGAAGCGGTCGTTGGATCGGAGCACCATGAGAGTCTCCACTGGCGAGAAGAGCCAGAGGAAGCCACACGGCACCCATACCAGCACAGTGCGCTCGAAACAGGGAGTGAAGTCGGGAACGTCGGCGTCCCATGTCAGGTTTGTGTTCTGTGAACAGGCAAGACAGATTGTCAATAATAAATATATCACTTAACCAGGCACTTACTTGCAGTCGAGTGGTCTAAATTTGTTTCAAAGACTGCTGTGGAAAGATAACTTAGTTCACTAACTTTGGACTGTGATTCTGTACACAATCCATGCATTAGTCTATGTTCTGACAATCATACTCATATGCCATTGCAGATGCACCAACAAAATTCCTTCTTTGAAGATACACCATTTGACATTTAGCCTACATTAGGACACAATACTGGTACAAGGTAGGTTTCTGTTCCCATCTTGAAGCTGAGGGCCCGCAAACTTAGCATGCGAAGGTTTCTAGAAGCAGACTTACCCAGAACTCAGAGTGGCAATAGCCGCCTAGGCCACTCATTTTGAGTGGTTACTGGGAGACGGCTTTTAACTCCTGAGGTCGTATGGGTCTGCCCTGAAACAAAATGAAAAAAATTGTTTTAGAGTTGGTATATTTCAATGTCAGGTGATTTGCTTCACTGCATGCCTACCTGAGAACGGTATTTGTTCAGAAAAGGTCTGATCTACAGTTATAGTGCCATTCATATGAATATGCAACAGCATAAATTGTAGGTTGTAGGTTGTAGGTTTTTACGTTGTAGGTTAGGTTAGGTTGTAGGTTTGTGGGTTGTAGGTTTGTGGGTTGTAGGTTTATAGGTTTGTAGGTTGTAGGTTTGTAGGTTGGTAGGTTTAAAGGTTGTAGGTTTGTGGGTTGTAAGTTGGTGGGTTGTAGGTAATTAGGTAAGGTTAGGTAAGGTTTGGTTATGTTTTTCTTGTATTTGCACCACTTGTAAGTATCATGCTTGGATTCAGGATCAGGATGTCAAATTATGTAAGAATATGCAAAATTTATGTTTTAAAATGAATCAGACTTTTTCTGAACATTTACCCCTGAAAACTAGGATGTTGTGTTTAAAAAAGGCATCAAAACACAAACATACACATCAATGTTTGAGAGGGAAGTTTGCACATTGAAATCATTATTCTTATCATTTCATTTCCTGACTTCAATTGGCATTCCTGGCTTCTTATGAATGACAAATTAAAAATGATTTGAGGTAAAATACAAGAGGCACTAGAAGTCTTGAAGTCTTGAATATATATGGAAGAAGGCGTACTGCCTGTAACTTCCAATTTCCATTACTCAATACTGATGAGTGGGCACCTATATGGCAGAGCTGGGTGAGGATGATCTTGGAATAATTCAAGGTTATTAGGCTAAAGGCACTAAGGCTGAAATTAAATTGCAAATATTTTATATCAACTTTCATTATAGAAGCAATGTGGTAACAGCTTCAACAATTTTGAGGGCAATAACAAAATGAAAACAATCAACAACAATGTTTTATTTCAAACCCAAGACCGCTGCCAAGTGCCATTCTTGTTCCCCCATTATAAGCCGGGACAAAGATGAAGCACATTACACAACTATAACAATTAAGCATCGGACTTAGAGTGCAGTGAGCAAGAGAAAAAAATAATCTAACGCCTTACTTCAAATCAACGGCACCGGTGAAAGACAGCACCTCACCGGAGCGACCCACCCGACACACACGCCCCACCGCCGAACACACTCGACTGCCGCCAGATGTCGCTCGGTCGCCAGTTAGACCGACCCCCACCGGACACGATTTGGTAGCCGAGGTCTGTGACGTCAGCTGGGCGTGAAGTTTTCCCTTCACCATAGGCTTTACACACAAACTGGCCGAAGTTCATGCCAGGATAGCCCGGCCTGAAAGCGCAAAAATGATCAACTGTTGCCCTCATTAGATTCATTGCTTCATTTTATAACTAAAAACGTCCGTCATTAGGCCTCAATGAAGGTACAAAGTACTCAAAATCGAAGTTCAAGAAGATGCTGTCCGAGCACAATTTGGTAACATCACGTGACCTCTTTTCAGCAGATTGTATATAACTTAAGAATATAATTACACGATTGCCGCCTAAAACATCATAAATAATACACTTGTAACATTTATCACTTCTGTTTAAGTCATAACATTGCAAAACGCAAAGTTTATTACGGCAGTCACGTGACCAAAGGTAAAGCAGGGGGTTGGGACAAACACTCAAAGGATTTCAAGTTTTTTAATTAAATTATATAAGTTGCATGATGAAATTGAAAGATTGTATTTTTTCCTAATAAAGTACAAATTTTGGATGGTAAAATATTTTCCTTATAGGCGAAATTCTCCATATAGGAAATGTCCATGACGTCACCAGGGCTTTACCATGGCTTTACTCAAAACATCCGACCTACCTGTTTCTTATAGGTATCTTGAGTTCAACTTACCCACTAGAGATTTTCCTCCGCTAGTGGAGGAAGAAAGAATGCTGTCTTCCTCTGCATATGGAGGAAACTGGCAGCACTTTCCTCGAAGAGGTGAGGAAAGTGTGGCGCGGAAGTAAGGGATGGAAGAGGTGGGAACATATATTGGGGTTAGTTTTGGTATTATGCTTTGGTTCGAGTTTCCGATAGTGTATCACGTAATTCTGTTGAGAAATATGCATATATCGAAGTGCGACTTACGAAAAAGGGCAATATTGATATTGGTAAAGGCCGAAGAATGAAGATTTCTTTATTTTGGTTTCTTCACCTGGCCGTCGGCGTCTATCTTATGAATTGAAATTTACTTACTGTGTACTTGCTTACCTACCTATAACCTATTTATTTACCTTTTTATATACGTGCACTGTGTTTTTAGCCTTGACCTACCTAAACGGCTAAAAGTAGATTGTGATGCTAGTTAAATGGAAATAGTCCACCTTTAACATGGGCCGTTTCACCACACCAGTGATAGCAGCACGCTCTGTTATCATGTGATAACATAATTCTAACGTAATTCTGATAACATAATCACGTGATAACATAATTAATACATGATAGCAGCACTTTGGCGAGCTGAGATAATGTCATGATGCCATATTGTTGATGTGATGGGCAGTTCTGGCGTATGATTGCCGTGAGTCTGGCCTCAACATTAAGTGGCGTTTTAAGCCTAAGAGTAAGAGTTGACACAGTCAAAATACTATATTAATGAAATTTATTTATTAAATATGATGTATTAAAAATAAGTTAAGCTTAAAAAATTTGGACAATACTTTAAACATTTAGTTGATTACCTCAAACAATATTGTGGCAATTAAACGCCAGAATTACCCCTTACATCATCAGTATAAAGTCATCACATTGCGTCAGCTCATGCAATTGGATAGCAGCGTGCTGCTATCACCGGTGAAACAGGGCCCTGGCGCATTGCACAGTGCATTTCACTCTTTGTGTAGGTTGGTATCATGATTGTTTTGCAAACAAGTAATAAAACAATTACAAACGGTAACTGAAGCCGGAAGCGACTAAGTCGTTATATAGCCAATACATAAACAATTTATATTGGCATCTCCGTTCAAAACATCTCCGCCATTTTTGTTGACAGCCGAAGCCTCAAGGGCGTTCATGCGATGCGACAGCACAGGAAAGCAGGAAGGGTGTTAGGCTCCGCCTCAGAGGTCGCGGGAGCCGCGGCAGCGGCAGACACTGGAATCAGCGCCAAGGAAACACCTAAGGACGATTCAATGAAAGCTGTAGGAAGGACGTTAGTCCTTAGGTAGGTGTCACACCACAATGCTTCTAAACATACCTAAGCGATTATAAAGTGGCCATTCTAGTGTTTCAACTGGGTGAGTAAACCAGGTGATTAAACGGTGCTGTTAAAGCTGGCGTCACCGTCGGTGGATATTAGGTTGGTAGGTTGTAGGTAGGTAGGTAGGTTTGTAGGCTGTAGGTTAGTTGGTTGTGTCAGGTTAGATCATGTTTTTTAGCTTCCTTCATGAAATCCCACACTGATCTTGGGATCTTGATCGACTCTGAGTTGAAGTTTCACCAGCATGTTGCTTTGACAGCAGAGATTAAGGCTGCTGGTCTTACTCAAAACTTGTTAAAATCAACTGTGCAGATCCCCTGATTTTATGCCCACTATTCAACACTCATGTAAGACCCATCATGGAATACTGCTTGAGTGTATGGCATGCCACATACATAGGGGATGTGCGCCTCCTTGGATTGGTTCAACGACGTCGGACCAAAAAGATCTCAGCAAGGGCGCAAACAAGGGGGCACACAGGCCCGTGCCCCCCCACCCCCACCCCGCTATTAGAGTTAGGGGCCCAACTCACCCTCAAATGGGCCCCTTATCCTTAGACCACTGAAGACCATGTAAAAATGAGCTGAAACAATGATTGAAAAGACTGGGAGGGCCCATCTTGGGCCTATCTTTTGCCCCAGCAGGCCCATATGAGTTCATAAAATGCCCAGTAGCGCAGCCAATATGAATGTGGTCAAACCTCAACGGCCCTCAAAAGGTCTCTAAGAGCCCTCGGATGGTGTCACAGGGCCCTCAGAATCTCGAAGGGCCCTCAGATGGCCTCAAAGGGCTGTCAGATTGCCTCAAAGGGCCCTCAGCTGATATCAAACGGACCTCGGAAGGCCTTAAAGGGGGTCAAGGCGGCCCTGAGCTGGCGTCAGAGGGCCCCCAGCTGATGTCAGTTATTTGCCCTGGTTATTTGAGGGGTTCCTGGCTGCCTGAGGGGCCTCTGGTTATCAAAGGGTCACCTGGTGGAACCCTGATCGATTGAAAGCCCCTGGTCACCTGAGAGGCCCCTGATTACCTGACGGGTCCTTTAAACGGGCCCAATGCCGGTTCCTGAGAGACCTTGCCGGCCTCTGATGGCACTTGCCAGGATCAGGGATGAGGGTTCAGCTGCAATGGCCCCACACCCATCTGTGATAGCCTAACTCGGCGCAAACCAGTGTTTCTGAGTTCCCCCACACAACGGCACCTGCGAGGCCCCTCAACCACCTCTAAGGGCTCCACACCAGCGCCTCTTAAGGGACTACATCTGCGGCTCTGTGGGTCCCTTTCCACATTTTCTGAGGACCCTGACGCCTCTGACGGCCATGTACCAGTGACTCTAAGTGGGCCTCTTACCAGCCTTTGAGTGTCCTTGCCAGCCTACCAGCCTACCAGGTATGAACGGCCACTTTCCACTTTCAGGTCATTTGCAGGGCCACACACATGCCAATGGTGGCCCCACCAGTGTCCTTAAGCCGTAAGGCCCCGCAACGGCGGCTGCGAGGACCCCACACCAGCGCATTTGACGGCCTTTCACCGGCACCTCTGAGCGCGCCACACACCGGTGACTCTGAGGAGCTCGCTCCCTTCGCTCACTCGTAAAATACCGTGCATATTAAGCACACTGCTCAGGTAAAATTGATATTTTTACCTGCCAATTTTATTTTCCACATTTTCTCAAGGCTAAGACCGTTTTGGAGAGGCCCGTCTGCAAGTGGGACCGAACCCACTGTGCCCCCCCCCCTCCCATCGAAAGGTCCTTGATATGTCCCTGCCTGGGCTGACCCGTGGCTCCCGGGTGACTCTAGAGCATCACTCTAGACCAAACACTCCAGAGCATCAAAACACAATGAATGTGTTCAGCTCAACAATACATATCAACTGGTTTGCAGTAAGTATGACCTTTTACGGCCAGGTCATGACATTGACTGAAGGTTGAATTTTTATGTTGTCTCTCAGAGTCAGAAAAGTTTCTTGATGAATTTCGCGGAGTTTCTCGGACAATCACGTTTTTGCTTTGTGTGTGATGTGTGTGTGTGTACTGTGTGTGTGTGTGTGTGTGTGTGTGCGTGTGTGTGAAAATGTGGTAACAAAGTCACACGTTCCGGCACAGACACATTCTAAAGGCACTGAAACAAACTGAAAAATGTAGCCTAAGTAGTTTTTTTTTGGGGGGGGGGTATCAATATTGTAATATTGTTATATTGGGGTTAAATGGTATGATGAACCCACGTCCCACCCCTTGTCATGCCTTACACCTGTTTGCTAGACAATATCATATATGTTCATTGACCTTTTAAAAGCAGATTATTTCGAACTAAGGCCATATCCCATTTTGGAGCGCTTTCATTGTAAAAAGCATGTGAAGTGTACGGACAATAAAATCTATATCCAGATGTCAAATTTCTGACGCCCCTTCTCCCTCCCACACCCTCAGCACGTCTGCGTTGATCGTTGATGAGATAAAGGCACTGCGGAGGGACTACAGCAGCATGCAGCAGCGACAAGTAAACTATGCACTGGAGACAGACCAAGACAGTCGCAGAGTCTGATAAATGGGCGCCTATCGACAGGTAACTTGAGTATACCCCTTTCTAGCCGACGTACCGATTGAGTGCGTCAGCCTGCCAGTCTCGACTGAGCACTGTTGCACGCATGGTACTGGCCACCGCTAAAGTAATGTGAGGTTTCAGTACTGGTAAGCTTTGCATCCGTATCTTACGAACTAATTGTCAGACTGCCACGAAACGTATGTAGCTTACAACTACCATCATCCTTGCACTGCAAGAACATATTTTGCTGTCTTCCTCTGGATCACTCCGTGTTCAGAAATCGTCAATCAAAGCCATCTGTTGAGACTGGTAGAACCTCACATTGCTTTAGATGTGGGCTATATGTACAGACAGCCCTCTGCAGACTGCGTGGTAGGTATTCTTTTTTCGACAAAACCGAGAATAACGCGAATACTATGCTATCGGCCACTTGGAAATCGTAATAGCAAGATGCGCGAGACTCCGCAGCTTAGATTGGCATCATCACCGTATGCATTTTCCATCCAGTTTGGCAACATAACCCAAAAGTTTATATCTGCCCCCAAAACGAACTTTTACATTTTGTTGCCACACAAGGCGTATACTTTGTCTAGTGATAAGCCCAATCGAAGGAGTGGAGCATGGCGTATCTATTTGCAGTGAGTTTCGTCCCACTGGTAACATGGCTTTTGAACTATTATCAGTTTTTTTTTTCTGAAAAAGAATGCCTACCACGCAGTCTGCTGAGGACTGCCTTCTGCATTGGATTTTCATTGCCGTAGCTAAAATCCGTTACAACGCGTTCCCGCCCCGCCGCGGACATCGCTTTGAGTAGATGGCGCTGATCGCTGGCAAAGGGGACGCACCGGTAGTTTCTGTAGTACGTAAGTGCTAAGTAGGTTGTATGGGATGTCGAGAGGCGTACCAGGGATGCGGTGTGTGAGTTGATCTGAGTCGACAGTTATCCTCGGAGTCGGCCTCGGGGCAACATTGCATCATAGTCCATAAATTATGAAATTTATAAAATGTAAGGCCCTGGATCATGTAAAGAACTGTTTCGGGCAGTGAGAAGGAAAAAAAAAACTCGACGTGGACAGCTATCATGCCATGGATATACGATATTGACGAATGACGACTCCACAGCCGTGGCATCCAGCATACCAATTACTTGCGTTCGGGCGAAATCCTTTATGTCGTTCATCATGAGATGAAAAAAAACAACAGTGGAGCGTTGTTTCATTCAAAATTAGAGGTTTACCCCGCGTTCGATGTCTCTCGGACGGCGAAGATTCTACGTCGTCCGACCGATCCCGTTCAAGGTCAGCGGGGGCTCGGCTGCGGTTATGGAGCGTATTTGGCCGGACCAAGGCCGGACGACGTAGAATCTTCGCCGTCCGAGAGACATCGAACGCGGGGTTAGTTCCATGACCATCATTCAGAGTTGGTCTGTCTCCATAGGTGACGCCACCATCGCTCACCGTGGCGTAAATGCTAACAGAAAATAGTGTCTAGCGAACTAATTTTTGAGTTTCGAGCCAAAATTGTGTCACTTATTCGATGAAACACCGCCATAGATTTAGCTGTTTTCAATTGAATCTTGAGTAGTGACACAGCCTACAGTCCCAATGCTCTGGAAGATAGTCTGCCATGGCCTATCCCATTTCATGTCTCAGATGATCTTTTTCTTTTTGGTGAGGACTGGAGCTCGCGTAGAGCCCCCCACCCTCTCCCCCGCCCAGCTGTTTGGCCCCTGATGGAGCTAGAGCTTCGCGGAAACTAAAGAGCTTGCTGCCGTGAGGAGAGGCAATGATGTCAGGTCAATGACCCAGATGTCCCGAAAATTCGCGTCATAGACTTTACACGTAAAAATCGGCATGCAAAATCGGGGTCCGGTCCCGGTGCCATGTCTTGGTCTATGACGCGTCCAAGTCAGAATCGTCCAAATATATGACGCAAATTTGCACTTTTACGGCACGCGCCACGCGCTCATTATCGATCCGATCGAGCTCAAACTCCTGAAAGGCACGTCGCGCATCCTTCATATTGGGCAAATTTCAGCGCATTATGCGCAACGGGCTGGCCTGAAGTCCACGGTAAGTGTCACCATGTCGGGACCTCGGTGACAGACAAAAACAGCACCCACATCAAATAACAATATCAAATATGTGTCTGTGTCCCACAATCTATTCCCGTCCTGCCAGCACGGCTTCAGAACTGCTCATTCAACTGATACGGCGCTGCTCACTATGACTGACCGCATACTTGAGGCGATGGACAACCGGCAGGTGGCGCTGCTGCTGTGCTTGTTAGACAAGTCAAAGGCTTTCGACGTGATCCCACACAACCGTCTGCTGAACAAACTCTCTCTGTACAATGTCGATGTGCGCTGGTTTCAGAGTTATTTGTCAGACCACTATCAACAAGTACTCATTACCGGCACGCTAGCTGGAGTCCGCACGCTGTCGCAGCCGCTGCTGAACCCAATAGGCACATTCCAGGGATCCGCGCTGGGCCCTCTGCTGTACTCGATATACGCCGCAGATATGCCCCTGTACCTCGATGTAGACACCGTGCATGACAAGTGCCTCGTGCAGTACGCCGACGATGTGCAGCTGGCTGTGTTCGGCAAGCCTCGGGACAGTGCAGTGGTGCGCTGGTTCGCAGTCTGGAGCAGAATCTTTCGGCCCTTTCACTGTGGTGCGGGAAGAACGGGATAAAAATTAACGCAAACAAAACACAGCTGATAGTTATTGGAACATGTCAAAATCTCCGTAAGATGCCTCACACTCAAGTACAGTTTATGGGCACGACGATTCTCGGCTCCCGTTCAGTCAAAAACCTTGGCGTAGTTTTTGACTAGAATATCACATTCTCGGTGCATGTAGATGACGTTGTGCGACGTTGTACCGGCCTACTCAGCGGACTGAGTCACAGCAGGCACGCGCTCCCACGAGACACGCTCTCCACTGTTGTGCAGGCGCTCGTTGTCTCGTTGGTACGGTACTGCATCAGTGTGTACGGTGTATGTGGTAGCACACAAATGGTACGACTGCAGAAACTGCTGAATTACGGTGCGTGTGTTATTTCGGGCCGTCGCAAGTTCGATCATATCAGTGACGTGCTGAAAGACCTGGAGTGGCTGACAGTGAAGAATCTGCATCAGTACCATTCGCTGACCCTGTTAAAGCGAATTTTAGCCAATGGCCAGCCGGATACATTGTACGGTAGTCTGGTGACTCGAGGCGATGTTCACGGCCGAGTAACCAGACAGGCGGACCAGCTAGACAGGCCCACGATACACACGGATCCGGGGAGCAGACGCTTCCTGCACTCAGCTGTCACTGCGTATAACGCGCTACCGCAGGCGCTCCGTGAGATGGGGCCCAGACTCTTCCCACGGAACCTCCGTAAACACCTGCTCGAGCGTCAAAACGGCGGTGAATAGGTGTCGGATTGTATGTAGATGTGTGCATGAGTGTCTGTTCCCAGTTCCCATCGATTATTTTTGACGCGCGAATCATAATAGCCATGTGTTCATGGATGATTGCAAGATGTTAATACATACATACATGCATGTGTCTCAATGCAATATGTTACCGCTCTCAATATACTCTGGCCATCTGATCTACGTGACATAATGTATTGCTTCAAGCGCGTACCGATGAACTATGAACGTTTCCCGGGCAAGATGAGCCTGCTAACTGAAGTGCGGGTTGTTTGGTGTTATGTGAATGTGTACGGGTTGAGTTCTACGAGCATCAACAGCCCTCGTCTCACTGCGTGGTAGGTTTTCTTTCTTTTTTCGACAAGATCGATGATAACTCTTAAGGCTATGTTCTAAGTCAATCGGAATTCACAACACAGAGACGCGCGGTGCTCCAATCATTCTATTGGATCTAGCATTCAGCAAGTTATTAGCCCAGTACGAAATAAAATACAAGTTTGTTTTTGGTACAACTATACACTTTTGTGTATCGCCGCCAAGCTGGGTAGGAAATGTATACGATGATGAACACAACGACACAACAAGGTGTTGAGCGAGCATCGCACATCTCGGTGTTATGTTTTCCAAGTGTTATGGAGAAAACCTATGCACTAGACGAGCCCTGTGTGTACATTCGTTTCTCAGTTCGGGTACGAAATGACCACTGTTTGCATGGAATGTGCCTTATGTTGTGAAGCAATTGCACCAATAAATAAAGAAGATTCAATCAAGGTTGATGGTTGCTGTGCTCTTGTGGCAGGGTAACTGTTCTTTTTTCTTGTGGAACTGTGGACGAAAAATTATTAACTTATGAAAGGCTTGTATATTTTTTTTTTAGGTTAAGAGCAGATGGGTAGTTGAATTCTGCGGTATCATAAAAAATGGCGTTACTCATTCTGACAATCACAGTTGTACATTCTACCATAAGCTCTGTACGATAACGCAAAGCACCACGAATCTGCTGAAACATATTCACCGATCAATGATAATTTTTGTCATGATAAATTTTGATAATACCACGAATAGCAAGGGTAGGGCGCACCAGGTTTCATGTTTACTGAATAACGGGATTAATGTTTATCTGTGCTACAAGGTATACCTAATTCGATGACATATGATTATCACTATCGCCGCAAGTGGATCGATTGGGCATTGGTGCCATTCGACCTTACCGCAGCCGCGTCCGAAGCTGTCAATTGTCTTGAATTGCTTTGCGTTTATCGGAGCCATTTTGCATTTGCCACCGATTATATCGGGTATAGACCACTTGTGACCAGTCTTAGTTGCGTTACCGCGTCGTTGAAACATGCAAAAGTGGCCTTAAACTATTCATAACGCATACAACTTAAATCTGTTTATTACTTATCATCCGTGTAGGACGTAGGTAACGCACAGTACATTTAAGCAGTCACTCGTACTAACAACGTGGGATTCGACACTGAACTATCAATTATCCGCATTCCGCTGTAGCATAGTTCACATGTTTGCTATTTACTTGGCCAATGGCCTTATCATCCTTGTATTACGATGTCGGTGCGCTTCACTGCAGGTACGTATACACCTTCTTAGGCCTTGGCTATAAAAAACGCTGTAGGCACCGGGTAGACGCCGGGGTCACCATGCACCATTCCATCCAATCTCACTAACGCACGTCATGATTGTACGATGTGAAATCGAAGACACGTTACACTGTAATCGACATTCCCATGAAATGTCGGTTATGTTAAACCTTTTTCCTAGAACCGCCTACACTGTACAAGACCTCTATGTTCTTCAAACTTTTTACTGAATTTTCCTTTTCTTCGTGCCGAACCTGACAATGCGGACCCCGGCAGCCCGCTCGGCAATAAAAACAGTCTGCGCTGCACATGGGGCGGTTTGAGGTTGGACCGTGTGGTGTAATAATGAAACTGCATGAGGAGCCGGAGGGGTGGAGCGGGGAGGTGCCAGGGTGGCGCTGGGAGCGGGAGGGGTGGAGCGGGGAGGTGCCAGGGTGGCGCTGGGAGCGGGAGGGGTGGAGCGGGGAGGTGCCAGAATGGAGCTGGGAGCGGGAGGGGTGGAGCGGGGAGGTGCCAGGGTGGCGCTGGGAGCGGGAGGGGCGGAGCGGGGAGGTGCCAGGATGGAGCGGGGAGGTGCCAGGATGGCGCTGGGAGCGGCAGGGGTGGAGCGGGGAGCGGCAGGGGTGGAGCGGGGAGCGGGAGAGGTGGAGCGGGGAGCGGGAGGGGCGGAGCGGGGAGGTGCCAGGATGGAGCGGGGAGGTGCCAGGATGGAGCGGGGAGGTGCCAGGATGGCGCTGGGAGCGGCAGGGGTGGAGCGGGGAGCGGGAGGGGTGGAGCGGGGAGCGGCAGGGGTGGAGCGGGGAGCGGGAGAGGTGGAGCGGGGAGCGGGAGGGGCGGAGCGGGGAGGTGCCAGGATGGAGCGGGGAGGTGCCAGGATGGCGCTGGGAGCGGCAGGGGTGGAGCGGGGAGCGGGAGGGGTGGAGCGGGGAGCGGCAGGGGTGGAGCGGGGAGCGGGAGAGGTGGAGCGGGGAGCGGGAGGGGCGGAGCGGGGAGGTGCCAGGATGGAGCGGGGAGGTGCCAGGATGGCGCTGGGAGCGGCAGGGGTGGAGCGGGGAGCGGCAGGGGTGGAGCGGGGAGCGGGAGAGGTGGAGCGGGGAGCAGGAGGGGTGGAGCGGGGAGCGGGAGGGGCGGAGCGGGGAGCAGGAGGGGTGGAGCGGGGAGCGGGAGGGGTGGAGCGGGGAGCGGGAGGGGTGGAGCGGGGAGCAGGAGGGGTGGAGCGGGGAGCGGGAGGGGCGGAGCGGGGAGGTGCCAGGATGGAGCTGGGAGCGGGAGAGGTGGAGCGGGGAGGTGTCTGATTAAAATTCATAGAAGAGGTAGGCGTTGCCTCTGTGGTCGGCTGCCGCACGACATCTGCGCTGCAATTTTGGCAGCGGATGCTCAGCTCCCTTATTGTTGGTAGCCTGTCGACGGCGGACGACCTGACGCTGGCCACTGGAAAGGGAACACACAAATATATCAGTTAAATGATAAAATATGTAACAGTATTGAATGTTGAATGTTGAACGATCCCAAATTCAGCTGCAAAATTGTGTCTCAAATACTTCACTATAGTCACTAATGTTGACATTGTAAAAATGTCACTTTCACTTATTGTAATTGTTGCTGAATCATTCAAACAGACAAAAAGTTATGATTGAAATAGCTGTAGGGGAAGATGGGGGAACACCGCCCTTTGGGGAACACCGCCCACCCCGATATCAGAAATATAAAAAGGACTAGGGCGACAGGTGACTGTCTTTTGGCAGCGTGACGACAACAGAAGTGCAGGTATGGGCAGTACACCGCATTGGTTTAGGTGATTTGCGAGAAATTCCTAATTTTACGTTGCGTGAATACGTTTTATACTTTTTTTTCTAGCATAATAAGGAGAAGGAAACTTATCTTATTTGACAGACATTAGTCCTGAAGTAGCATTTTTTTTTTTGCCATAATTAGGACTCATCCAAGCATGACGTGCTCCTGCTCGAGCAAAATTTTTGTCGTGCTGCCATATTGAAGGATTTTTTAGAAAAATGCAGACACTTGGGTAACACCGCCCACTTGGGAAATTTGGTATTTAATAGCACATTTTGACACCTTAGCCAGGAGTGACGCATTTCAAATAAAGAAAACGTTGTTGCTATGTTTTATTTTTAGAGGATAATGAAAAATTTCGAGAGAATGAAATTTTGTAACTTTAAGTTGTCTATACATATACAAGAGTACTACATTGTACCAGGAATATAATAAAATGGTTTCCACTGTATTTTATAAATATACTAAAACACCTCGAAATTTACGATAAGAAGAACAACTTAATAGTTCAGCAATCTACAAATTCGTTGCCTGCTGAGCTCGGGCGGTGTTACCCGACCCCCACCAAACACGATTTGGCAGCACTGTAAAGACGTCTGCTGGGCGTGAAGTTTTCCCTTCACCATAGGGTTTACACACAAACTGGTCAAAGTTTGAGCCAGGATATACTAGTCTAAAAATGCAAAAAACGAACAAATTTTGGCATCAATAGATTCAGCATTTCATCGTGTGCCTCAAACCGTCCATCATTTGGCCTCAAAGGAGGTAAAAATTGTTCAAAATTGAAGTTGGATAGATGCTTTCTGAGCACATAATCTGGTAGCAATCACGTGACCTGCTATAAGCAGCTTATCGATAACTTACAAACATAATTATTGATATGCTGCTTTAAACAATATTAATCATACATTTTGAGCTTTCAGTACTTTAAATAAGGTCAAAACATCGCAAAACACAAAAGCTAATACAATAGTCACGTGGGTGTCAGGAAATGTCACAGGTGCGTCAAATTTGTGACTGGGGCTTTACTTTCAAACATCGGATCTACCTGTTTCTTATAGGTATCTTGGTGTTACCCAACGGTCGGTGTTACCCCGAAAAATATAGACATTTACTAAATGTGGAAAATAATGCAATTATGAACGACACTACAATACAACAATTGCTTAATGTGTATGTAAAATTGATGCGACAATCCAATAAAACTAAGAGATTGATCATTTGGCCAAAAATCACGTGACTAGACACTAAAGGGTTAAGGGGGTCGGTGTTCCCCCGTCTTCCCCTAACTGCAGCGATCAGGCACTTATAGAGCGTTAATTATTGCGGAGCGAGCGAAGCGAGCGTAGTCTTTCGTAGATGAACGGAAATTGCTGTGTATGAACGGCCGGCCGTGGGGGTGCTGAAACATGAATCATTCCCCCCCCCCCTCCCGGCCCGGTGCGGATTAAATGTAAATTATAGCTGTTAATAAACTGCTCTTTTAGTTAATGCTACTTGTGAAAAGTTAGTATTCTTTTAGCCCCCGCCACTAATGACGGTACACAAAATTAGAGGACGACGCATTCTGACAGGCATTGTGGCATGTGTAGGCATACGAAGACGCTCACTTCTGTAAAAGATTCTCGCCAGGGCTTGCAGCTTTGAGTTGCCATCGGGCTGAAGGAGTTTAGCATCCAGTTCAGCATCTCCAAACGTCGTCTGCTTGAGCGTCGTTTTAACAATGTTTTTGCGGTAACAGAGCAGAACCGCATGCCACCCTTTACCCTGGAGCTTCTGTGCCTGCAAGCAGAGTAAAATGAGCGTCAATTAGGTAGGGGAGTGTCAGCTCCAGTAGAGCCCCAGACCTTGCCCGTAGCTTCGGCCGGAGCAAGAGTGCCGGAGCTAGCCCGAGTGGAACCAGTTACGGCATTAGACTTATTTTGCTGGTTGGGTAATGGCCAAGAAAAATTTATGTAAAATTTATACTTACATTCCATTCTATTTTCTTGAATATCCTATCTGTATTTTTGTCGGACATTTTGCGTCCGATGTCTTGGGCCTTGCGTTGTCGAGCAAGCGCCCTTTCTTTTATTATTGCTCTGAGGTCGCGCCCACAGCCACGGCAGCGCCGGCTGTTTCCGTGTCTGGGCTCCCCACAGGCGCATACACTTGTGCGAGTCATTATACCTGAAAAAGAGTATTATCAATTATTTTGTTGTGCCTGTCCACAAGCTGTTTTAACGCATTTTCTTCCACCATGTAGTGCATAGTGAGGCAATGCTCCACAGGAAAACGGCAATCAATTGGAAAATGATTGTCGATTCAGATTAAAAAGGTGCATCCTCTTAATGTGCATCGCTTATCATCAGAAAACAGCACACATACACACGTTTAGGA